AACGCTTATACCTTTAAATTGACATATTGTGATTATACTTCAAGAAGTGATTGTTTCGAATCGAAAGAAATAGAAACGTAACAGATATCTACACACTACAAACTTGTTTCAAAAACTCAATCGAATTGAAAAAAAAATCTTCATTTGAATTCACCGTCCCCATCTGTTACAGCAATTAGCAAGCTGCAATAGGTCCCTCTTGCATGAGGAGGAGGTATATACAGGGTATGTCACAACGACCTCACATCTTTATATTGAGAATCAGACGAAAGGAGTTCATGAGAATGTGCATGCTTTCATTTCAGAATATTCCCTTTTCATTTTAAACATTTTCATGGATTTATCTCTACTGATTTTTGATAAAGAGATAGTGTAAGCTCGTCGTGACATACCCTATATACCCTTCATCTCATGATATCACTGAATTGACTATCCAATACTCGTATAATGTGATTCATCAAGCAGACGTCATATATAACTGAATTCAAGTTCGAACCCGCAATATTATATTATTCACCAGAGTTTGAATGAATGTATTGGCTACAAAAAATTTATACAAGGTGATTCAGTGGCACATTTCATTAATTGAAGGTCTCGTACACAAATCTGAGACCGCATGTTTCTATTATTCATTTTCAGAGTGGACCAATAATTTTTTATTCTTCTTTTTTTCCTCTCTTGTCTTATCAACAGACTGAATAAATAGTCGTGAAATTTTTATTAAACGTGTCATTTCCAAGAATATATCTAACAAATTGAAATAATCAAATTATTTTTTGATAGGAATATCCCAAAAATTGATTAACGTTAATTACAGTTTCACATGACATAATAATGCTAGACCGTCTTGGATACTATGAATATGTACGACATCAATGTATTTCTCTGTATAGTTGCCAGATTCATTTCATAATATAAACATACAGAAAACAATTCAGATCATCTTCCTCATCAAACTTATTTCAGGCTCGTATACAGCTTTGTTCAATAGGGGTGGGAGGGAGTTTGGGGGTGGGGGAGAGAATTCGTGGCGTGACAAAAAGGAGGAAAGCGCCATATGCGAAATTTCTCGTAGTTCCAAGGTCTCATGCCCTTGATTTGTTTTAATTATTGAAAAGGAATATCCTCAGAAAATTGATACATCTAGAGAAATATATTGAGAATTTGCATTCTCTATCTGATAAAAATACTAATTCTTTCTTGTTATAATCAACAGAAAACAACTACTTTCGTGGCTAACATTTAATTACATATCATATTGAACACACAATAAGATTTCGAAGATAAAACCCTGTGGAATCGGGAATTTGCATTCTCGTTCAGATAGACACATATTATGTATATTATATCATTTGGAATATTCAACGAAAAACAACTACTCTCCTGGCTATAATATGTCACGACGAACATTGAATTACATTTGTTGAAATGCTATCATTTTTCAGTTTTCAGGAAGGAATAGATTGAATACTATAGTCACGCTTTGAAGGGGATAAAATTCCTTGCGTGAGTTATGATGTTAATCTTATTTGAAACAATGAATTCTTTTCTATCGTCTGTATACGCGCCTCAGCCATTTTGTTGAGTCTTTCACGGTGCGGTATTTAGAAATATCATGTTTTCAAATCTATCTCGTCTCTTGCGAATTTTGTGTAGCACACAGAATATCAACATGAGTATTGTTGGAAACTTGAAAACTCAATTACCAGATCAGCCTTCTTATTTTACAGTCTACGTCAAGGCAACATCATAATGATGAAAATCTAGAGGATTTGGAATGAATGAAGATGATCATTAAAATCCGCATAAGCTTCATACCTTATGAAATATTACCGTTGGCAAATATTGACTAAATCCGTCAGTTCTCTCTTTACTTTCGATGTCTTGTGGATTAAATATCACAATCAATAAAGCATAATCCGCCCAAAGCTTATTTGAAGAGGGGGGGGACGGTGAAAATACGGAAATACATTTTTTTCGCAGTTTTTTGCCTATATCTTGACAATTATATGATGTTTGGTGCAGTGAACATACTAAAGCAAAATTATCTACATTGAATTCTGGAAAAAGAAGTTTTCTACAATGTTTTTGTTGAATGAACAGTTACGGAGACATGGAGCGAAAAAACTACATAATTTCCCAGTTTGGCGAAAATGGATGCAAAAAATGATGAAATCGCATTTTCACAAGCGTATTTGGAATGTACTCCTATTCTTCTTCTCTTTATAATTCTTGGTAAATGCCATTTCGTGACGAAATACTTCTGTATCTCAATCATCATTTCGGAAATTATCGTACTGAGACATTTATATCTTTATATCAGTCGCACAAGCACGGTTCTGACTGTCTGAGAACTCGAACTCCGAACGAGCATCGAGAAAATTTGAAAGCTATAGTGGAAATCATTTCTCGACAAAAGTTCGCTCTTGAAATTCTCATTCGTTCGAGTCGCACTGAGTGGTAGATGCTGAACTATGAGTGAGAGCAACTATTTCAAGGCCGACTTATAGATTCTCAACTTGGAGAAGTGCGTGGGCGAGTTGGGCTCGACTTGCAGTAACCTTCTCGTAATGATCTCTGGGTTTTTTATCAAAAAGCGATCGAGGAGCTGCAACTTTGAAAATCCATGTGATATCGTTTATATCTGACACTTTGAGAGTCTGGAGGCACCGTGAAATATTGTCCCATATAGAATCATCAGCTTTTGCAATGTGAATACGCACTACGATATCACATTCCTCGATATATGGTTCATCAGTTTGAGAAAAAAATCCCCTTATGGATTCGCTCCACCTTAGGCCAATTCTTATTTTCTCATTCCCATCAGTGGGGACAACCTGCGGCTACTCAGCAGATGAAGCACTTTGTTGACATCTTTGTTCTGATCACCCAGATGGAACAGTTTCGTGGACATCTGTATGCAAAAATTGGTCAATTTCTGAATATCCACTTATGTTGTCGCGGATTGATGAACGAGGCTCTGGCAACCTGATTCAAGTTGTGAAAACTAAAGCCTAGGAATAAATGGCAATTACACGTTGGAGCAGGAAAACTTCACAATTATAGTAAAACGACTGCGTAATAATCTGAATCATGTGAAAAATCAAATCTATCTGTTCTCCGTTGTCAAGAATCATGTCTATCTCTTCCGCTGAATCATAAATCTCACGGGCTTCAGAGGCGCAACCAAGGGGGGCACCAGGGGCCAGTGCCCCCCCCCCAGAGCAATCGATATCATAGACCGAATCCCAATAGTTGTGTGGCAGTTATTGCTAAATTCATGGTTTTATTACCTAATGGTGAAGTTGCGACAATGAAGCAAAGAGAAGAATTCATTAATTTGGCTGGTTTTTATGAAAACGACGTAAATTAACCAAATGATGCCGAAGCAGAACTTCGACTTTGGTATCAAAAATGTATTTCTTATGAAGGCAAAGTTCCTAAAAATCCATATGATGCAATAAACATGAGTTCAGCTGATATTTCTCCTAGTGTTTTTGTTCTTTTGAAAATTTTTGCCACGTTACCCGTTTCGACAAGTACTGCAGAACGATCATTTTCTACCTTACGACGGTTGAAAACCTATCTAAGAAATTCTGTTGGAGAAAGAAGGTTGAATGGGCGAAACAATTTGAATATCCACCGAGAAGTCAATGTTGACCCTGAAGAAGTCCTCTCACTTCTGAAACAAATGGGACCACGAAGAATTGATTTTGTTTTGTGAAGTTCATTATGTCTGTAAGACAATTTTAGATAATTCATATAATATCCATTCGAAATGGATTGTTATTTTGTATTTGATTTTCTGTATTCCTGATAGTATTGTGATATTACTATAAGAATCAATATTTATTTGATTTTCATTTTGTTTTTTCATTTCGTTCTGTTTCAGCTTTTCACGTGGCAATGTGAATGATTTATAATAAAAATGAATATTTGTATATTTCCACTTATTTATGGTTTGTATGAAGACGCATTGAAAACGTTTGTGCCCCCTTTGAAAGTGATCCTGGTTGCACCACTGACGGGCTTCAAAGAAGGCGTTTGTCACTGCCATTTCCATTAAATGCGATACACTCAATCCAATCAACTAGAGGCCCATAAGTCTTCTATCCGTACTCCAAAGTATAATGGAATCAATAATTAGAAGACATATCAAAATTTTCAACAAAAAACGTAATCATACCATCAGAACAACATGATTTGGTCAGAGCACATTTGACAGCTTTTGACCTACGTCGACTCCGTGGGGACTGGGAAGTTCAATTTTGGTAATCAGCAAGAACTTTCTGTTCTCAACAATGATTCGCGGTTGAGGGGTCACACTCTCAAATTATAAAAGGAAAAATTGTCCACAAGGAGGAGACAATATTTTTTGGTGATTCCTTTTTTTGAACTATGATATGACTTATCCAATGATGATGTCAGTTCTGACTCAGTAAATAGTTCTAATAACAAGATAGACATTTGCTCGATTGTTTCTATGTATTTTTTCTTCTTCTGCATGCATTGTGTCAACTTGTTGATCCCTTCAGTTTCCAGGCTCACATAGGACTCTGTCCTCAGCCATTACTTATAGATATGTAATAATAAAAATAATAATAATAAACTCTTGACATTCTCCATGGACAAGATCAGGGCTTTTCAGTATTGAGGAACCTGAACGAGAAGGTTGATTCAAACGATTCTATGGTACTGTAAACGTTAGTGTTTATAGTCATTGTGATGGTATTCGAAGTGGTTTATGAATATTTGGTCGTCAAAGGTTAATGGGCTACAGGCCCAAAGTGTCATCGGAGACTTTGATCAGACCAGTGAAGGTGGAGGTGGAGTGTTCAGTGGGTACACCTATACGAACCTACATACAGGGACTCATCCGCTCCATAATGAGTTTCGATAACCTCCTTGAAAAAGAGAAAACCCACTGTTGGGACGTTCTCTTGGAAACAGTTATTGAATAAGCCGATATATAGTTGATTTGACATCACCTTTCTTTTCAGGATTCGATGCAGTTCTATAGGAGTCTTCCTCAAGAGATGAGATACGGAATGTATGAAGTGAGGAATCTGAATTTCAATCACTATGATTTTCTCTTCGGGAGAAACTCGAAGACATTGGTGACTGATAAGCTCCTAAATATGTTGGAAAGGTTCACATCTGAGCAAACGTATCTCCAGAAGAGAAGTTCTTGAATAAATTCGAATAGTATTTATTTTTTAGTTATAATAAATTCAACATTTTTCTATGAATGTACCTCTTATTTCCACTTCCTTGCTCATAACCTATGATTCATCAAGTATTATTCATTCAACCATTTTAATCGAGGGGTTATCAACTCAATTATCATCGAATATCGTGATAATTCATCAATAATCATTGATGATCAGTAACTGGATCTTCTAATCGCAGAATATTCCGCAATAGATATTTTGATAACCCTGTTCTTCAAATTTGAAAAAGAATTAACAAAAACTGTAAATAAACAGAGTTTTCTTGCATGACTACACATTCATTGGTGATTTTGATTGAGATTATTAGCAAGAGATTTCCAATGCTGTTTTTTGATTCCATTTTATGATTATAAATAAAAATCGTTATGGACTTGTCATATCTGAGAGCAAGTTTTATTACTTTGTACAGCCGATCAAAGTTCAAGAGGAATTAAAGTCACTTTGCGCTCTGAATTGTGAGAAGTCAGAAACTATTTGAAGGTATTTAATTCGTCAAGAGCATCAAAAAAAAGCATGAAAATGCATGTTATACACTGAGAAAAATAGTTGGTTGTAAATATCGAACGTTTAGTGAAATATAGGCGCCAGTAGGTTAGGTTAGGTTGAACGTGAGTGGGCCTATTGTCAGGCCCTCCACTGCGGCCATTGGCCTATTGTGGCTCACCCTAGGGTTATATTTCTCCCTGTATATCCAATTTCTTAACGAAATTGAGGATTGCGTTGGGAGAACAATTTACCAGGTTTTCTGGCCTTACTATTGTATTGCCGAATATTGAAAATCTGGTTCTGGCCGCTGCGGGGCATGTACACAGAGGATGTGTTTCGCCGTTTCATCCTCCTCCATACATAGGCGGCACTCTGCATCTTGTGCAAGTCCGATTTTGTGCATGTGGTATTTGAGTTTGCAGTGGCCAGTGAGCAACCCTACTATAACTCTGAGATCTGCTCTGCTGAGTTCTAGTAGTTTGTCAGTGTCCTGTTTGTTCCTTGTACCAGCAATAAATGCTTTGGAATGGGCTAGGCCCGGTAGACTGCGCCAATACTCGAGTCTTTTCTTATCTGCCCAGGATGTTATAGCATTCTTGGCAGTGCTATATGCTATACCGATGATCGGTTCTGGCCCAGTGAACGGTGTTTCGGCCCCCCCTTTTGCTAGGGCGTCCGCTATTTCGTTTCCTACTAGGCCCGTGTGACCTGGTATCCAAACTAGGTTCACGTTGTTACGTTCTGCTAGTTGGTTCAAGGTTTCTCTGCAGTTCCATACTGCTCTAGATTTAAAGCAGTTGGATTAGGCGCCAGTAACTACATTCATCTAATAACACCACTAAAATTGTATAATACAATATTTCCTACAAATCAAATATTACCACTACAAAATAGTATGATACTCCATAATACAGTATGCTGGTATGATATAATTTCGTTGTGATGTTATTTGATGAAAGTAGTGACTGGCACCTATTCTACTGAACGTTTGGATTTCACTACCGACTATTTCTCTAAGTGTATTACAAACTTCACGAACGATAAGATTTCTACAGAATTCTCAATCAGACGACATGTTTCGCTTACACAGTAGCTTCATCAGGTGAAATACAGGTATACAATGAATTCATTGAATGATAAAGCTACTGTGTTAGCGAAGCATGTTGTGTGATTGGGAATTTTGTAGAAATCTTATCGTTTGTGAAGTTTTTACATTTGACATGGATTACCATGCATCAAGTAACGGCCGAGTCAATTCGAAAAACCATGTTATGGTTGTTAGATTTGACAGATGAGTGGAGTTCCCTAATAATTAGGCGATGAAACTGAGGTTAGAATCAATGTGGCGCCTGGTTGGCACCATTCATTGAAGGAATTGTCCCTTTTTATGATTTCCCATGGTTATAAGAGTTCTGGAACAAACAGAAATGCACATATAAAAACAATTCATTGTGTGCCAAGAAGAGCTTGAAGTTTGACAGGTCGTTGAATTGCCTAATACAGAAATATATAGACATTTTTGCCGCCAAACAGGTATATATTCAATAATGATTTTGTGAAATGTATTATACATGTCTTTAACTATGAAAAACTATGACATATTCCATACATTTGCAACATATGATCTGAAAACCGTATTTTTTCATCCTGGCCGGTACTTTTACGGGTCAGTGAACTTCAGATTCGTGGTCAGAACCCCAGTAAAACATATAGGTAATTATGTGGAGAAATCCCCAACCGCACTCATGTTATCAAAAAAATAACATTTGATCAGACTATAGTAACTTATTTTCCATTGGAGCAGGATTTTCCAATGATTCAATACCAAAATTATGTCATCAATTCAAGCAAGTGTGTACTATACAGAATGATACAGATAGAATTTCTCTATATGAATTTCATTATCTACTGATATTTGTTTCTTTTCGTCAGTACAGTAAAAACCTGCATATATAACTAGAATTGCATTTCCTACTTTTTATTCACTTCAACTAACTTATTACTTGTTCTTCGTATGAGACTGTGGTATGAGTATGTGTGAGTTGAAAGAAATTTCTCGCATAATAAAGGCATTATGAGATAGTGAAGGTCATGCAACCACATTTTTTTCATACGTTACACTCGACCTAATGTACCGCTGATTTAATTTAGCTGATATATTTATTTCCCTACTGGACATGCATAACAACATTTTTCATACACATACATACTATAGAAAATTTATTAGATATTTATTTCACTTTTCGACAGCCTTGTCTCCCTGTCAAGGTCTCTTTGCGCATTAAAAGCCAACTTCTAAATATTCGCACACAAAATGTGAAAGAGATTCGACTGGGATAACATGAGGAGTGGTTTGAGCGGAGTGAGTGTTTCACTAGTTTTGGGAGCTATTGTCATCTTCAGTAATGCCGCGATTGCACAAGAGAATAATGTGTGCCCCACCTTCAAAGATTACCATACCATCAAAAACAACTCCAGGTGTTGGTATGACCTTGCTGTGGAGTTCAACGCTGTGAGTATTCACTTGATATACAGTGTGTTCGATTTGAAACCGCAATGTGTTCATTCAATTCACCTGCTATATACAGTGCGTGCGATTTCGACTCAGAACATCCTCCTCGTTTAAAATCCGATGACCAATTTTCAAGAAGAAAAAAATCATAATACTGTACTCTACTATTGAGATTCTCAAGGCATTTTATCGTTCGTGGTTTCAAAAACGATTCTTAGGTGATTCCGTTTCGGAGAAGTGGGTAGTTTATTCGCGATTTGATTATTTGAACGCAATATCTCATGTGAGATATTAGACTTCTCCTCGCATTTTCGGATGATATAACAGGTAATGTGGTTATTTAATGGAGAAAACATCGAATTCTCAGAAACAAAATTTCTTTATTGTGAGATATATTCATACAGAGAGATGTTTCTATATATGTCAACCAAAAATCAATGAAACTTAATTGAAATCATGAACATGAAAAAATGGATATACAGTGTGTGCGATTTCAACCTGCAACACCCTCCTAATTTGGAACTCGTCGACCGATTTTCAAAAACAAACATTTCATTATATTGCACTCAACGGGCTCTATCCGAAGATGTGGACGAATTTGAAATATTCAGATTTTTAAGGCCTACTTTGGCGGCGGCGTTGATATAACCGGTGGAGTATTTATTCAATGAAGGACGACATCGAATACATAGGTACGGAGTTTCATCGCTGTAACTTATACAGAAAGATCTATCTAGGTCAAACAATAATTAATGAAATTGAAATCGAAATTTTTTTCATTATTTTTCATTATGATTCATAATTTTTTTCTAGGAAATATAGATAATGGTTACTAATCCGCGAAATATTCTCTATAAATGGAAATTTCCATTGTCATCTCAAATTTTCATTCCATTTCGCCAAAATCGGTATATTGCAGTCTTTAGAGAGTATTCATCTGTCATTCTATTTCTCTTATATTCGACAGCTCTTCATCAAACAAGACGATTTTCAAAGTGATTGTGTGGTGTGTATGAAATACGGTTTACTTGAGTTGTGAGAATGGTGTATCTCAACTTCAGTTTTATTGATTTTGGTTGATCTAGAGAGATCCTCCTGTAGAAGTTACAGCGATGAAACTTCGTACCTATATGTATTCGATGTATTCCTCTATTGAATAACTACGTAACCGGTCATATCAAATCCTCAGATTTTGATACAGGGTGAATCAAAAAAACGAAAATAACAAAATTTGCCATTGAATTACTAGCACCCTTTATGGGATTTTGTGTTCAAATTTCGTATGGAGGTATTTGATCAATGCTTGAATCGAATAGAAAAGTCACTGTTTCGAAAAAAAAATGCCTAATAGTCGTTTTTGAAATTTGGATCCCTTCAACAAACAAAAGTAGGCCTCGAAAATCTGAATATTACGAATTTGTTCACATTTTCGATAGAGCTTGTTGAGTAGCATATTATGGAACTTTTGTTTCTGGAAATCGGTCGAAAGGTTCCGAATTAGGAGGGTGTTGCGGGTTGAAATCGCACACACTGTATATATATATGAAGAAATTCATTGAGAATTCGCATTCTCCATGTGATGACAATAACAATTTTTTCCCGGTTCATTCAACAGAAAACAACTACTTTCCTGGGTATATGCCACGACGAACATACAATTAAATCTATTGAACATACAAGATTCACAATTTCTTTCCACGTCCTGTATGATGAATATCAATTCGTCATACATCCAAGAATATAAAGTTGAGTATTACTTTCTTGAAAACTCAATTAAACCGATCACTCACACAAACAATGAGTCCAAAATTTTCTCAACAGCTGTTAAATACAGGGTATTTCAGGGCGAGCTTACAATATCTCTATATCGAGAATCAGTCAGAAGAAATTCATGAAAATATGCATGCTTATATTTCAGAATACGCTCTCTCCATTCAACATATTTTCCGCAATGCAGTGTTGCCGCTTATAACAAAAAGTAGCAACAACTTTGATGTTTAAAATAGAATACCCTTTATTTTATTGCATTTTTAGATTATCCCTGGATAGCTGATTCCATCGATACATCACACTTGGGGTCTATCGAAAATGATTACAGAGATATAGGGCGTTCTAAATCAAGATTTTTCAATTTTAGGATTTGTTTGTGTCGAAACTATTCATTATCGGCCAAAACGGATCACATGTCCCTATCTCAACTTTGAATATACTGTTTACTGATATTTATTCGGAACAGATACATTGTGATTAGAATTCTGATTCTTGAACCACTCTGTATCTGTTCCGATTACATATCAGTAAATAGTGAATCAAAAGTTGGGATAGGGACATGTGATTAATTTTGACCGATAATGAATAGTTTCGACACAAAAAAATCCTGAAGTTGAAAAATCTCGATTTTGAACACCCTATATCTTTGTAATCATTTTCGATAGACCCCATGTGCGATATATCGATGAAATCAACTATTCAGTGAGAATCTGAAAATGCGATAAAATACAGGGTGTTTCATTTGGAATATCAATGTTACTACTACTTTCTAGTAGAAGCGGCAACACTGCAATGTCGAAAATATTTTAATTGGAGAGAGCGTATTCTGAAACATAAACAGGCATACACATTTTCATCGATTCCTCCCTACTGATTCTCGATATAAAGATTGTGTAAGCTCGTCGTGACATACCCTGTATAGCATAACACATGTTAGAATGACAGAAGAACACTATCCAAAGACTGCAGAGAGATATATCATATAACAATTCTTGATATGATCATAATAATAGGTATTGCTATTTTGGCGAAACGGCATGAAAATTTGGTATGACTATATGGAAATTGTTATAGTATATGATGATATTTTCTTGAATTAGTTCAGTACTATTCTTCATATTCCAACAAAAAACGGATGTTAATTAATTGGTTTTCAACTACAGTTTCACTAATTCTCGGTGGACCTAGAGAGATCTCTTTCTGTAGAAGGAACAATTGTGAATCTTTATATCCAAGTATTCGATCTTCGATGTGTTCCTCCTAGCAGTGTGAATTGGAAAATCAGTAATATTACAGGTTAATCAAGGAGGTGTTACATCCATGTAATTTGATTATTAGGGATTTTCTTTCCTCGTTTCTACAAAATCAAAAAGTGAGTATCATTTCAATATAATACTCAATTTTCATTTTGTAAAAACGAGGAGGAAAAATCCCTAATAATCAGATAAAATGAAGAATATTACAATTTGCCATCATTGGCTAACTAACACCGTATATAAGATATTGCATTAAAATCATTTATTGGGACATTTGAGCTATGTATGAATCGAATAGGCTATCCACTTTTTTGGATGAGATGTCTAAGAATGTTTTTGGAATTTCGACCCCTTCATCAAACAATAGTGGGCCTCAAAAATTTCAGTATTTCAATATCGTTCGCAAAGTAATAGCTATATAATCGAATTTTTATTCGTGAAAAAACCAGATAGGTATGCATTTCTCCATTACCAAAAGTACATAGGTATACGGTGTCGTGTCAATTGGACGTGGAGAATTGGACGCACGACTATTGGTCGCAGTCAATTGGACGCAGCGACAAATGGACGCGGCGACAATTCGACGCAGCGACAATCCGACGCGGCGACAATTGGACGCATGCGTAAATAAAAAAAAATTTATAATTCCAATGAAATTCATTGTATAAAATATGAAATACTGATGGACCTATATCCATAATTATAACAAATACCTATGGCCTAGGTTAGGTTGGTTAGGTTAGGTATTTGTTATATTATAGATATGAGCCCTGCATATTCCATGCAATAAATTTCATTGGAATTATAAAATTATTTTTATTTTTGCATGCGCTCAATTGTCACCGCGTCCAATTTTCGTCGCGTCCAATTGTCGCCGCGTCCAATTGTCGCCGCGTCCAATTATCCGCGTCCAATTTTCGTGCGTCCAATTGACCACGTCCAATTGTCGGTTATCCTAGGTATACACCTAACATTCAATGGGAGGTATATAGATATCAATCAACTTCAATATGATGATGCTGATAATAATGATAATCATAAACATGATGAATTGGAAAATTTTCAATTACCTGTAGAGTATGTTGAGCGATGAAAAGACGAAATAAATAAATGGATAAATAAATAATGGGAATCTCCTAAAGGCATACTGGGTGTATAATCACGTCCGAAAATATGTCACTACTTGTCGGTCTATTTCGAGTATTCAGAAGTTGATATATTCTTTCTAGCCAGAGATAATCCAGCGTATGGGATATCCCCTTTTGACCTATAAGGTACGAACAGCTGACGGTTATATTTTGACAATGTTCAGGATTCCCAATGATCATGTAAAAAACACGAATGCAAGAAAACACCCTATTTATCTTCAACACGGATTGGTATCAACATGTGCAACTTTTTTAGGAAAAGGGAGAGATTCCCTTGGTAAGTAATATCCTTTGAATCCATGTTATATTATACAAAGAAGGTCCCAATATTTTAGTAATAACCTCTCTCTCGAGAATATCTATCTCTCTCACTTTGAACAGCACCCCTCTTTATGTTATTTTTTTCAATAGGCGTGCTTTATATTCCTTATTAATTTGAACTGCTGTGAATAACCATCGATATCATTATAGTTCTTCAGAGACAAACATTATTAAGGACAATTCGAATTTGGTAAGAATCCCACGAGTAATAGACGAGATGTGTAGGGGTTGCGTTTGAAGTGAGACACGCTGTATATACTATTTTTTTCGATGAAGAAAGAGGAGAATCAGACTATACACCGTGTCCCTCCCTGTGAAAAATTAACCGCGAGATCGAATCACCAATTATATTTGATGATGCTTACTCCGAATTTTGAATACATCGTATGTTCAAGTACATGGTGGGCAAAATTGGGCGTTTTCACCGTATATCTCAATAACTAGAGGAGTTATCGAAAAACCGATATACATGTTCCGGGTTCGATTTTGGAGAAACCTCGAATGGTACAATCAAAATTTCGATATCTTCATTCGTTTTAGAGATACAGGGGAAAATTGAGAATTTGCCGATTTCGATTTTATTTTCTGACTACTTTACGGTGAGAGGTATCAAAAAATGTCAAACGTATATTTATACAGTATGATGCGCGGAATTCATTGGCATCATCAGAAATTTTATACAGGGTGACGTTGAGAAAATACGGCAGCCAATTATGTTTTTTCTAATGGAACACCCCGTATATTTTGGCACAGTTGAATAGTCCTAGGCGTTCTCATTACAATTATATATATAACCCTACCTTTTCCTTCCACAATTTCAGATATATTCGCAAAAATATATTTAGTGTGTCACATTTCTTATGGTTACACCCCCGTATCTTCTGTGAGAATAATTGATGGAAACATAACCAATCATAATATTTTGTGGCAGAATGCCTGAACATGATACTTCACCCATTATTTCTAGTAGTAAAATATACGGGGTGTTCCATAGAAAAAATTGTTCTGTATCTGGAATTTGGACATCTTCTATAAGGCTATATTTTTCAACGCAACCTACTGATTTCCTAATTGAGTAAATTATTGGTCTTATTTCTGTATCTCAAATGTCTTGATAACAATGATATCAAATCGAATAATTTCCCATTTTATTTCCCACCAAATATCCATTTATCTGGAAATTACATTCCCTATGATATTTATTTTCCACATTTGGTGAATATATACAGAGTGTCATTTTCAACCTCGATTCTGCCTGTTGATAGCATTATCCAGAAATATCGATGATTCCATAGCTGCTGGCGAGCAGTGTTATCAATGGAGATGATCCCACTTGGTCCATGACTCCATGAGTGTATCATTTGTATCTTTCTGACAGTTGCGAATTTTTGAATCCTACCTCAATTATTTTTACAGAAGATACGGGGGTGTACCCATAAGAAATGTGACACACTGAATATATTTTTGCGAATATATCTGAAATTGTGGAAGGAAAAGGTAGGGTTATATATATTTGTAATGAGAACGCCTGGGACTATTCAACTGTGCCAAAATATATGGGGTGTTCCATTAGAAAAAACATAATTGGCTGCCGTATCTTTTCAACGTCACCCTGTATAAAATTTCTGATGATGCTAATGGATTCCACGCATCATACTGTATGAATATACGTTCGAAATTTTTTGATACCTGTCACCGTGAAGTAGTCAGAAAATAAAATCGAAATCGGCAAATTTTCAATTTCCCTCTGTATCTCTAAAACGAATGAAGATATCGAAATTTTTATTGTGCCATTCGAGGTTTCTCCAAAATCGAACCCGGAACATGTATATCGGTTTTTCGATAACTCCTCTAGTTATTGAGATAGACGGTGAAAACGCCCAATTTTGCCCACCCTGTATAGAGCTTTTTAATACGAATTCACCAATACTGGGTTCGATGGGATTTTTTCGAACCACTACGGATATGGCTAAAAATAGAACGATTCAATTTTGAATAAATTGGCACCCAGAGAAATATTTTGCATATTAGGTGTTCAGTAGGAATACGAAATTTCATAACATTCAGAAGATTTCTGAATTTCATCATTTAAAATAAATCATATACAACTGTGAAACAAACCTTTATAATTATGAGAATGAAATGACGCTCATTATCATTATTATTAATTGTGTGAAATCTTCTAGAAATATTAAGGACATACCTACCTACTCAGTTTATATACTCACCTCCAAGTAGAGTTTCGTGTAGATGAACTACAGGGCATTGAAGTGCACAAGGGCGCTACTCAGTTCACAGTATATCTCAATGTGCCTACGACAAAAATACTCCCAAAAATACTCGGATAAAAAAATTACAAATCGAAATGAGCAACAAAGACAAGAATATATTTGAGAACGGATAATAAGAAAACCGGAAGTGACACAGAGACAGATATTACCGGATAATCGATAAGATACTACACGTGGAGAAAGACAGGGACCATGAATGAAATTATAGTTAGGTACATTACTTTGGAGATTATATTATTAAATAAGCTGAATACATTGTATGTTACTTCTGAATAATGAAAGCAAGATGAATGTTGTTCCATCTGTTTCCGATTTATATATTATGGATATAAGTAGACCTATGATTCGTTATATATTTAGTTTCATTCGATTTCAATTATTAATAACCGTAGAATGGTAATGAGCTTCAGCCAGCATATTATTTCATGTGGTCTATATATATATATCCGCAAATGAATACTGAATTTGGTAAAAACGGCTTCATTGTCTATATCCAGAACAACTTCAATTAATCATAAAGAAACCGTTTGGAGTATCCGCTCGAGAAAAAAAAATAGTCATATTTTAGTAGGTTTCCAGATACACTTTTTGCAGTACTGATACTATAAAAGGATATCGGAAACGTTGTCCAAACTTTGAAGCTTATTTTCTCACACTAAGTTTTTGGGAGATAGAACAATCAAATTCTCAAACGACGATAAGTGGAAAATAGCTGATTCAAGTTCAGAGTTCCAAAATGATGTCGAGGACGTAGCACAAAACACACATTTTTCTCTGTCCAACAATATTTTTATAACGTAACCGTTGTTGAATAGGATATTCCATCTACAGGTATGTATCACATATATATATATAATATCACATTATGCAACAGGTAACGTGAAGGGAGACGTTTCAAAACATTCGTTAGTTATGAAGTGTCAAAATACTTTTCAAATTCATAGAAGTCATTTACCAGAATCAGATGCAGAAAATTCAACCTCACTTGAGGTATTGCGAGAAGAAGTAATGTTTATTTTCAATGAGGAATCATGAAGGAATCTTCGAGAAGAAGGAATGTTTATTTCTAATGAGGAATCATGAAGATTCCTTCATATCCCTACCTACCTTTTGATAGTATGAATTTTTGACCCATATTATTAAGAATAATAATAATAATATTCCCGATATCTATATTCAACTATCAATGAAATCAATAATTATCATTATCTTTCCCAGGTAGCCAGACTGACGAATGTGACGTCTATAGGACCGCTATTTAAGGTCTTTTTTGGTCTCATACGTCTATTGACCAAATTATGACGTCATGTGGACGTCATTAATGTGACGTCTTATGGACAGCCACTGTTTGACGTCGTATAGACGTCAATCTTTGGTCTTCATATTTTTTTGGGTATTATTATCATTATCTCTATCATTATCATTATTATTACTATTATTATTCTTATTATTATACTTTGAGTTCATATATTTCCAGTCACGACCCTGCGGCCTCCCACGTCACGCAGAGTCGTGCTGGATAAAATCCAGTGACTACACCTCACAGCCTGTGAGATTAATAATCACTGGGACCAAGTGCTTATTATGTATGTATAGGAAAACGAATTTATGGAATAAATCAATTAATTTATCCAAATAACTGTATAAATGTATAATAAAAATGTATTTTATTCCATAGGCTTCCCTTTATTTTCAATATTTGAATTTAGCGCCAAAGACAATTCTCACATTACCCACCAGATGGCCAATGGCGATCAAGTAATTACGTGAAGAGATCGTGTATGCGACTCGCGACCATCTCGCGACTGCCGTTAGTGGCGTTAGTGCCGTTCAGCGGTCCGGTCTGTGGTTCAGCGTCAAGCTTGCATCGTGTATGGTGCGTTCCCGTTCATGTTCATTGTCCATCGTCCATGTCCGAATGGGTGTTGTTTGTGAACGGCGTCTGTGCCATTGGATTTGTCAAGAATGTTAAAATGTTGAGTGTTTGAGTGGTATTTCTATACAGTCTGTTTTTCACGTGAAAGTATTCAGGATGTATTGTGTGTGTGATGACAGTGAAAGCAACAGTGTAGCTGTTGTTCACGAAACTTGGCTGACGCCGTTGAAAAATGAAGTGTTTTGGCCGCCATTTAATTATACATAAAACATACAAAAGAGCTCTCTGTGAAGGGGCAGCCATCGACGCTGAAATTTTCAACTATATGTAATACCTTACATGACTATCTTGTTAATAAAATCTTCATTCGTAGCAAATTTATTTTATAGCACAAATGATTACATTCCTCACCAGATTATAACCATTAACCCCAAAATTTTATAAAAAAAAAACAGACGTCTTATTGACGTCGGAAATTGGTCAGTAGTGTCAGTTTAAGGTCCAATTTGAAAACACATACTGACGTCTAAAAGACTTTCAAATATGACGTCATTTGGATGTGTCTTACTTACGTCATTTGGACGTCGCATTTGTTAAAATAAAGACGTCTTTTGGCCGAATGTGATGCCGTCAATTAGACGTCATATAGTCGTCATGTGCTACCTGGGTTATTATTATTATCAATTACTTTTTTTCTCCACAAGCTATGGAACCTACCATTTCCCACTTCTTTTCAATGCGTGAAGACATCAGGTGTGTTTATTGTACTAAGGTAGATTTTGTCATTTTATGAACTACACCTCTTTTATAATAATTATAACCCGTCACTGTTCTTATAAGAGATTTGTACTCGAATCTAATAGGTAGGTATTTATCAATAACGATTTGTCATTTGCTGTCATGGTCATGGCAACTAGATTTCTATTAGTATTTGGAAGATGAGCTTTCATAATGACAATATGTTGATATTCCAGTTTCACAGAAATATAATGAATGAAATAGTTTGCTAGTAGTGAAAACAATTGATATAGATACACCTCGGTAATGAAAAATATTATCACCACAGGAACTCATAATACCCCTTGGTCGAAGCCTCGGTATACGATATTGGACCCTGGGTAATAATGATATTATTTACTACCTTGGTGTTTCAATAACTATATATCAGACAACTATGTAGAACAACACGAAATGTGAACACTTGCATTTTGATGCATTTATATGTATATATAATGAATGCAGAATAACATCATGTAGCAAGTAACATTTTGTTGATTTTTTGCCTTCAAACTAATGAAACATCGAAATTTTATTTTTCAATTGAACTTTCTTGTATCACAGCATTCATTCTATCAGATGCGGGTTATGATGTTTGGCTGGGCAACTATAGAGGAAATCCATATTCTGAGGAGCATGAGAATATGACAATATATGATCAAGAGTACTGGAATCATGGGTAAGAGTATTATTATGGAAATATTAGTCATCTAACAGTAAAGATAATTCTACAATACATTTATGATACCCAATACCAGTCAGATGAAGATTTGACGATAGCTTCGCATTAATTGGTTCAACTATTGACAACTGCACTACCTAGTGCAATTATCAGTGGATTATGAGAAATCATATCATATTCAACATTTATCTGTGAAATTGAATATTCCACCACATGTATTGATCAATGATCCTTATTTCCAGTACAATCAGTTATATTAGTGAAGATGATCTCCAATTGGTAAATAGCATATTGTACACTTTGCAAAGTGTGGGTACATATATTTTGGAGTGGGTATTGATCATCTCAAGAATGTCAGTGATTTATTAGGTATTTTTACTTTTTAAACATACTACGCATTTTTTTCTGTATCTCTTGGAATGAGGAAAAACCCAATTATGTTCGAAGAACATCGTGCGGACCAAGAAAGCATTGGAAGAGGGGTAAACGGTATTGTATTTGTTTTAATAGTATATTATGTAACAAGTGTTATAAACGTCCTTTTAGTATTGAGTAGTTTAAGCACGAGCGGAGCAGAGCGGAGCGAGTGTTTAATAAACGAGTGTCTAGAAAAGTTTAAAAACGCGTTACATACTATGACTTTTCTACGAACTCTGAAAATTACATCAACATACCTGCAATTCCTGCTTACCTACAAAATAATTTGAAAGGAATGGGAATTGAGAACATAATACGACATGCAACTGCATGCAACCAGAAGAATTCTGATACAAACGAATATTGTTTGAATAATTCTGATACATAATTCGAAAATAACATTTGACAGACATGTCTCAAATTACTGAAGCTGTGTTTAATGAACTGCGTCGCTATGGTAATGTGTTTAAGAAATCGTGTTGCCATGGTAACGTTTTCAATATTTTGAATGAAACACAGATCGACAATCCGTGATTAATCGATCATTTAGCGTGGTACATATTCGTACGCCAAATGCCATTTTAGATATGTGAGTAGAATAGAGAATAAAACCATCAAAAGTCCTCAGGAAAAGTATCATTGGCAAAGAATATCAAAGCTTTGCCATTCATGGAAATGTCTTGTTCGCCTGATTTCAAGGTTGACAACGAAATGATGTGCTGACTGGGCTTGTCGAGTTCTTCTGGCTGGTAATGCTCGTCATGAAATGATAGAGATTCCTGGATAATATATCCCACAGTGAGTGTGGGATCACCATGCATACGATACTTCTGGAAGTTGATTGAGATTCTCGGATTTTTCGTTTTCTAACTCCTGAAGAGTTGGATTCCACTCCATATTTGTAGAAATTCTTCGTGTGAACGAGAATGAAACCATCCTTCCTTCCCACAGCGGTCCAAAATTTCTTTAAAGAAAGAACATCACCTATATAACAGAAAGTCGGTCGGTAATCAATTACCTGCCTGATTTTACGGTTTTTTGACCTAGCTTTCAGTTAAACTAATCTCCACATGTCTTCTCATTGTTATTTCATGTGTCTGAAGATGGTTGTTGAGCCGCCGAAACTAGTCACAAACTTGATTTGTTAATAGGTATAATTTTCGTGATCGATCGACTTTGTGTTATACTGTTTCTTCTTTGAAAGAAAATGAAGGGATCAAAACAATTTTGTGATGTTTTTTTTCCAATGATGTATTGGAATTTCTCATCCATATCATCTGCTCACTTGAGAATGCGAAGTATGATGTTGAGATGACGTACATAATGACAAGTTCACCCGAAACTGAGACTGAAAAATCAAACCTTAACTACTCGGTATGAATCTGCCTAACTAGCGATATCTATGAGAGACAGATATGAAAACAAATGCATGCGATGTGTCAGTTATCATAACATATCCAACAGAAATATCACGACAAACTTCGACATTATAGATGAAAACTGTGTTTACAATTGCTTTTTCAACACCTCGTATCTTGAATACGGATGTTTCTACTGATCAAACTCATTTTGCACTGTTCTACCTACCCTAATAACAGGACCACCATCATTCGAAACATACCTATTAATACTTTAGTATTTTAGATACATCCATCAATTATGATTCACTACATGAAATAGGTACCGGATGGCCACATAAGACCATCAGCAGTGAAGAATGTCAGTTTTTAATAGGAGAGGGACATCGTTCAACACAAAGAAGATAAAACATATTTCAACCCTCTACTCCCTAGAGCAATCCCTTCTATAATTTGAATATGGATTAAGGGTCATGTTATACATCATTGCGAAAATAATTCAATTCTGACTCTAGCTGTGCAAAGTTATTTAAATTCCAGCAAGCAGCTCTCCAGATATTCAAGTTCAAATGATATATCTTCTGATTGTGAGTAAATGAATGTACTGAATCGATTATAGAATATTAGGTATCCGAAACAAATATTCAAAATGCTCTCCATTGACTTCCACATAGTGGCAGAGGTCGTTTGAAAATGTTTCTCTATGTAATTGCCTGGAATTCGATTCTCAACAAGTAGCATACATGATATATTCAGACATTATTGGTGCAATTACGAACATACTTATTGGCGAAATATTTTTAACGTAATATTGGCGAGAAACGAAATGTGAACATTTGGCGATATTGGTACAATTTAGTTTCAAAATGTGAGTGAAAAATTGAAAATCAGCATATTGGAATATTGTCTTGAAAACATTGGTGAAATATTTCCACACCAATATTGGTTGAATATTCGTAGAGTTATATTGGTCATGGAATGTGGATCCAATATTGGCGGAAAATAAAACATTAGACAATATTGGTACCTACAATATTAGTTGGAAATTTTGGTGAATCATTGATGATTATCATGTTGCTATGTTCTAGTATCTCTAGAATATTGGTAGAATATTTCTATAGGTACCAATTTTGGCGAGACATTGTTGATACAATATACAAGCATTGTGTCATCGAACTCGAGTATATACGATATTGCAATACTACTTCAGAATCGACATAGGGAGAATGTTCAAATTGCAGTTGGAAACAATATGTATACGATGTTGTTGTATAGATATTTGTGAAACAATATCATATAATATTCATATATATGTTTTTCCACATATTGTGAACAAACTTTCCAAACAATATTGCTTCAATATTGCAGCTGACTATCCATATTTTGGTCAGGTTGATCAGATATTCGACCAATATAATCATGTCAATATTGTATTTTCGATATACTCTTGTATTGGACCAATATTATTTTAACATCAAATCTTCTTCTGAAGATTCTAACATATTTAGCGAAACACGTGTCGAAGTGCTGAAAATCGGTTTGGTTGGTGATAAAACAGTGTGTGAAGTATTATCGTGCCAAAGATTCCAGTCTTCGATTTATTTACAAAATAACTATATCGGCCCAATATAAAATCAGGATTCAGCCAATTTGATGTACGACCTGGGTTAATATTTCTTTCAAATCGCCTACACCAAGGTCCCGTCTTATGAATAACGTAATTGAAATGACCCCAAAGTGAAGATCATTGGGTGTCATGTACGGCTCGCCGACTGGTCATTTCATTGGTCCTTCACGAACTATCTATTTGTTGGGGAAATGTAGGTGTAGTCATTTTCTCACCTGATGTGAATTAGAATATGGCGGTAATTGGAAATAAATATAATCTGCTGATAGATTTGTAATATCATCATCATCAAGTTCCGACTTTCAAGAGATAATGATGGCTTGGCACTTCCTCTTTTGGGATTATTTGGGATCCGCTATTTCTCTAACGGAATTCACTGACCTAGGCAATCTGGAAGGAAGAATTAGGATTTAATGCATTACGATAACTAGAGAAACATTCTCGAATGCGCAAGCAAAATTTGCAAATAGACTCTTCCACTGTCTAGGGGGTCATTGAAGGTCATTTTGATCATTTGTTGTGGATAACTATTCAATAATTCATTACGTACATTCATTAACTGACAATTGGTACTCAAAAAAATTTTCACTGCTAGTGTCAGAATTCAATTACCTTTGCAATGATGTAAAACCTAATCATTATTTCTATATTCGAATTAATGAGTTAATTGCTCTGAAGAATAATAAAGGGTACCTGGGTATCATCTTCAACGCGTCGAACGGTGTCTGCCTCCTATTCCTCGAATGAAAATTGACGTATTTTATTATTGTTTTGTCAAATCATTTTTCTGAGAGTTATTAGGAATGAATAGTCTCAAGTGGATCACCTATATGCTTTTGTTCACAGCTTGGATGAAATTGCCCTACTAGATCTGCCAGCCATGTTTCAGACAATATTATCAAATACGGCACCCGGAAGTAAAATCATATTTATTGGACACTCACTAGGAACAGCAGCATCTCTCATGTTTGGGTCAGAATATCCCGAATATTCCGAACGAATCGTCAAAATGTTGGTACATTTATGCCCTGCCTATACATTATCAAACATGATATCTCCTTACAGGATGGTAGCACCAATGGGAAATATGATACTGGTAAATGGTTATTTATAATAACAGTTAGAGGTGAAAATAGTGGCACTTCAGATGACGTATAAGAACATTTATTCACTATTCTGTTCGAAGTGAAGAATACCTTAATGAAAGTATATACGAGAATTGTTCTCGAACTAGATTATTATATTCTGAGGAAGGACATTTGAATTCAAATTTTGACTCTTGTCACCATAACGTCGACGACACCGCGAAACACAGTATTTGCAGTCACCAAATTTTTCAGGAGACACTAGAAACTAAAACAAATGGGTTAACTCATCATATTCATTAGTAAATAGAAACAAACTCTCTGATTATCATTATCCTTACGTTTGTACATTAATTATCAGTCGCGTTTTTATATGATTCCCGAGTGCAGGAATTCTGTAGGATGGAATAAAACGGCAATTATGGAAAATAGTAGATCGTTTTATTAGGATCAAAAGTGACACTTTGTTTGACAAGCGAATTTTGCATTTGCGAGGCGGAGCGTTTAGCGAAGCCGAGCGGTCGCGGTTGGACGATATAACCGCTCTTATTGCATCGAAGATCAATGGAGCTGTGCGACATGATCTCTGAAGTCGAGTGTACCTATCTACCACCTATTCCGTATTTTCTTTCCTTTCCCAAAAGTTTTGATTACAACATCTTTATGATGCATGTCGAATCCCCTTTTTTGTCAAACCAAAAGGCCAGTGGCACCAGGATGATATAAAATTTCACAGAAATGGTCAATGGAACGGCGATTCTGTCGCACTGGTGACACTAGCAATGATAATAA